CCGCCTAGTTGCTGGCGACCACAAAACCAGCAGAGACATGACCTAACTGCTTTGGGGTCATCGATCCTACAAACAACTAAACTTCCATTAAAGGCCGATCGATTGACTGACGAACTTAATGAGTAGCACCAAAATGCAAAGACTCATCTGCTCCCCGAGACGCTAAGATGTTATAGTAGCCATTCGGACCACGTCAGTCAGCCTACATAAAGTTACTATTACACATGAAATTACTACTACTACTACTACTACATAAAATAACACAAACACAACTACGTGAAAACATAGACTACATGACAACACAAAACTACCTAAAGGTAGATCCTGGTTGTACACCTCGTTCAAGAAACGATAAAAATTCACAGTCATCTAACAAATGCCAGGTGATTGCGAATATTCATATTTATAGTCCGAGTTGTAGCTAAGCCCCTACACCACGTCAAGGTGCCTACCATGTAGAGGAAATTTTGTTAGACAACTGGGTAAATGGTTCGATATTCTCAGATAAATTTTTTTCATGCTTATCTAGGTGATTTCTACTTAAAAAGACACTTTTTATTATCTTTACCTTTTACATATTCTATTCTCGCATCATATTCGCCTTATTGTACTAACCATCTTTGGAGTCTGGAATTTATATCCTTGCCGGTGTATTTTGCTTGTAACCATTTAAGTTAATTATTTTTATAGTAAAATATAAAACATAAATAGATATTTAACAATATGGTGTTCATTAACATACTTCATGATATCATGGCTAGTACAGGTCATAGTACTGTCTTTACTGTCATACATATTAATACCATTTGCACTAACAACAACTATGGTTGGGCTAATGCCGGTGTTTACTCACCTCATAATAGGGAAACCTCATATATTTGTATGAGACCAGTATAAAATTTCATCAAAAATCAAATTTATAATAATTTGGAAAAAGCTGTGCATTGCATGCACACAAAGTCAATCATTTATTTTAGAAAAAATGTGTACAAAAAGCAAAGACTATTTCTTTGAATTTGTGTGTCCATTCAATACTACTATTGAACGCCCTTTCTTCTTTATTTCCTCTTAACCCAAAAGAAACCAAATTTTGTAAATATAGAAACAAAAAATTGCACTTCACTGATTGCCCTTTCGTCTCGTTCGCAAAACAGAAAATTGTCAACATATAAATCACACAAGCACCCAAACTAGCAATATGAATAGAAAATATAGCAACAATTTCTATACTATATCACACACCTTCACATACGCACATTCAACGGTTCTTTCGTGTGTTTCGAACACTTAAGATCATTGTGTCATACACAGCTTTTGTTTGTCTTAATTGTTCTACAATTCAAAGCTGGTTGTGCTTTTAGCTGACTACTTGAACTGGCTACCGTAAAATCAAGGGGGTCCATTTTTTGTTCTGCATTCGCAATCTGTGTATTATTTGTTTGTGCTATAATCGTGTTTTGAAATTATTTGGGTTTGAAAAATTATTAAAATTTATTGAAATTATTAAAATTTATTTTACTAAAGAAAGTTAATAAAAATTTAATTGTGTTTGAAAAATTATTAAAATTTATTGAAATTATTAAAATTTATTTTACTAAAGAAAGTTAATAAAAATTTAATTGTGTTTGAAAAATTATTAAAATTTATTGAAATTATTAAAATTTATTTTACTAAAGAAAGTTAATAAAAATTTAATTGTGTTTGAAAAATTATTAAAATTTATTGAAATTATTAAAATTTATTTTACTAAAGAAAGTTAATAAAAATTTAATTGTGTTTGAAAAATTATTAAAATTTATTGAAATTATTAAAATTTATTTTACTAAAGAAAGTTAATAAAAATTTAATTGTGTTTGAAAAATTATTAAAATTTATTGAAATCATTAAAATTTATTTAACTAAAGAAAGTTAATAAAAATTTAAAATCGTGTTCTGAAATAAATTTTTAAAATTTGTTGAAATTATTGAATGATCAAAAATTTATTTAACTGAAGAAAGTTAATAAAAAATTTTATAATCGAACTAAGTACAATTTTGAATAAACAAATTTTAGTTACGTATAAAACTTTATTTGTTTTATTTCTACTTTAATTCACTTTAAGCGTGCAACATGTAACTATATGTCGAATTAAAAGGTATTGTATGTTTACGTCTGTACGTAACATGAATAACGTCGCTTTCGTCTAATAATCCCAATTGGTCAAACTTGTTTATTACTTCTATTAAACTACTTTTGTTGTCAATTAAAGAACTTTGTATCTGCAATACAATATAATAACATTGTATATTCCACACTGTCTAAAAATTCTTGAAGCGGGTAATCATTTCCATAGAAACTTTTAATTGTTTGGAACCGCTTAATTCTTTGATCCGCGGTCAATTGAATTGGAAAAATTGCTGGGTTTGATAAATTTGTTTTATACATGCTCTGTTCCTGTACTTGTTTAATGTGCTGATCTTTTTGATAGATGACTAATGTTAGCTGCTCATTTTTTGTTTTGTAAACTTACCGACTGCGCCAATTATGTGTCTTGATAATATAAAATAAAAGATATGAGGTATGGGGATGTAAATCCTCCATCCCTTGATTCGAGATACTCCTGGATCTCGTTAATAAATATATTTGGGAAGTAATAAAAAATTATACAACTTGTGTTACTGGAGATTGTTTGTTTAGGAACAAACGATCTTCTATCATGTTTATACTTCTGATGTTTTATATTTGTTGATTATATCATCCACTAGCGATATAAGTCGCATGCATATGAGACTTATCTAAATAAAAGTACATTATATAGAGTGTGCATCAGCATATTCGCTTATAAATGTATTCTCCGACGCTAGTCGCGCGGTGTCTTATTCCCGCTGCACAATTTTTGAAACTAAGTATGGAAATGAAATGTTGTATAGTATATATGCACACTACACAATCCTCTGATTTAATCAACATTACCATCAAATCTGCTGCTGTTCAAGAAAGGATCAAGGTTTTATGGCCAAAGTTTTCTTGTGAAAATTCTTGCCAACCTCCGCATAGCTATCCGAACGGCAAAACATTCATCAAATCGTGGATGAACATTGACGTAATAAATGTAAAGAACATTTAGATAACTATTACTACCATTAAAATTTTTATTTAATCATCTTAATATTCAATGGGTTCCCCAATGTTTCTGTGTCCCCTGATATTCGCAGATATAAACGTGTTTTCCGGACGACGCATTTCGACGATATCTCGTTGTTCTCCCCTGGCAATGTGTTTAATATGATTATACGTATTAGTGTTCTTTCACCGATATTATTTATTCTTTACTATATGGTATATGTCCAAATTTTTAGGTTGTACTATTGCGGCCTATGCAGCTCCAATATGGACTCCACAACTCTGCGCGACGCAATGGAGTAGCACCCAATTTTGCCGAAACACACTTTACAGTAACTTAACAGTCACGCATAAATACATCAATTCCTAATGTATGTTCAAACTGCAACTCTACCCCCATGACGTTGCCCATATGTTATCCTGCTTCAACACACGCAAACCTTAGTGTTATCGACCCTTACAGGAGATCACCATCTTAATCCCGGTTGACTTCAATTTAAATCCCATCTCTCTTCAATCCACCCCATTCTCTAATAATCCCCTCTTCTCTCAAACAACCATCACCATCAGATCCTAATCCATGGACTTGTCATGTGATTGTTTTCATGTTATCTACTTTACAGATACCCGTGAGCTACAATTAGAGCAATTTCAGTACAAAAACACTACTAATTCATACTTATTTTGAATACACCCAAGGAATAAGTTTCCCTATTCTAACACTATTCCCAACAATAGAACTCCCTTTTTCTGAATGACCCTTTTTAATGGCGAATAGTACGAAAATGAGCAAAACAAAGAAAAAAATTGCGTATCATATGTTGATTTAAGTTTAAAAATCGCATTATTTGTTGCAGCATAAAATATCAGAAATGAATATAATGAATACTGTATAAGTAAATTATATTTAATTTCTTTTTTTTTAAGTATACATAATTTATTTCTTTCTTATATACAATAAAACAAAGTAATAATCTTATTTATTAATTGAAATTATTAATGTTTTAACTAAAATTTAAATTCCTTTCCAAAAGTCATATTTATTTTTAACTTGTCTCCCAAACAATTTGCTTGGCACACATTTTGTGCAAAATTGGGTAAAAATCTCCCATTCCTTTATGATTCAGAATAGCAAAATTGGGAAAAGGGAAAAACTCCCATTCCCATCTGATTCAGAATAACTACGAATATTTGCAAGCATTTATCACGTTCGGAGATTCTGCAAGTTTTTCTTTGATTTAGACAACGATGGCTGGAGTGGTAGAGGTAATGAGAATCTGCGCCTCAATTCGACGTTATTTTCAAATTTTAATTAATATTCTTTTTTTAATGGGGTACGTAACGTCCAAATATTTGAGTGACTTAAAGGTTTTGTACTGGTAGGCAAGAATGATAAAATACAAAATTACGCCATCTAAAATGCTGTAAGATGATGTAACAGTTAAAACAAAATACAAATAAACATTTATTTTACTTAAAAATTAATTTTTAAAACAATTTCTACAAGATTTGGTTAGTTCAAAAGAAATTGTAATATATATAAAATTATTACAAAATTATTTTACGCTTTAAAACATATGAATAATTTAAACAAGCAAATAATAAACGCAAATTGTTTTTAAGAATTTGCAATATATTTTATTACATGAAAGTGGAATTCATATTGGCCCTATGATGAATAATTTTAATAAATTATTTAAACAGTGAGGTGAAATAAAAAATTTCATAATAAACAAGAAATTTGGCAAAATGTTTATCACTTTGAAGGTAGGATGGTATAATCTTATATTCTATCATTCACGCTAGGGTCAAGCAATTTTAATTTAAAAAATTTGATCATTTATAATTTATTCGTGTTTCTCACATGCCAGCAGGAATAGTATTGAGTTTCCATTTATTATTTTTGGATAATAATTTTTATTAATTGTTGTTGGTATTTGCTTTGTTGGTTTTAACGTACCCAGATTCTGATATTTTATGTTCAGCAAAATGTTCACGTAATTCGGAAGCTAAGCGAAATGCTTTTGGACAAAATTCGCACTTGTATACATTCTCTCCTAAATGAGATCGAAGATGTTTAATTAAATCATTACTTTGAGTAAAAGCTCTCTGACAGTATTTGCATTTGTAGGGCTTTTCACCGGTATGGGTTCGCATATGGCGGCGCATATGGTCAGCAATGACAAATCTAAAATTAGGCTTTTAAGTATATATTTTATTTTCATATAATAAAAGGCAAACCTCATATCACAATATTCACACTTGTGCGGTTTTTCACCGTTGTGATACATCTTGTGTTTTTTTAATTGAAAGGGTTTTCCAAACGCTGCACCGCATACATCACAAATATGCGGTTTAAATTTTTTATGCACAGCGCTATGTGACGCTAAATCGCTAAGACAAGGAAATTTTTTAGGACAATCAGGGCACTCATATTTTTTTTCACCTGTGTGGCGAAGAAGATGTTGCTTCATATTGCTGGAATTACTGAATGTTTTTCCACATTCAAAACATAGAAAAGGTTGCTCCCCTGTATGTGTTCTTATATGATCTTTGAGAGTTGAAGACTGTTGAAACACTGTAAATGTATGATATGTAGGAGTATTAATCTAATTGTTTAAATATTTTTCTTACCTTTACTACAGAATTTGCAGTTATACATTACAGTTAAATCTCTCATTACAGGATGATCATTACGATTATGTTTCAATAGTGTACGTCGACTTTTAAAACTTCTTAAGCATTCTTTACACTTGTATAAAACAGAGGATTCTAACTCCAAGTGTGTCTTCAAGTGATTGCCTAATGAACTCTTTTTTAAAAACGTACTAGAGCAATACGCGCAATTATATTCAACTTTCTTGATTTTATAACTATCCTTATTAATCACATTATTAATCGTATTTTGAATGCACGCAATCTGACATGATTCTTTATTTTCAATTTCATCAACACATTCTTGATACTGATTTTTCAAACTGAAAAAACACGAAATAAAATAAAAATGTATTAAATTGTATGATTGATCTTACTGTACGTTATTGCTGTTAAAGAAGGTTGCGAAATCTTTACGTTTTATAGTTTGCAAATCCAATCTTTGAAGATTCCTAAAATGTATATATTTACCTATTAATTTTGTAAAAAATATATAAATATATTACGAATTTATAGTTTGATCCATTTTTAAACTTTCGGTTGCAACAGAAAAACTACTTTGTTCACCAATTAACACATCCACTTCCTCCAATTCGACTTTAACGGATTTTTTTAAAGCATAACTTAATTGTAACGGATCTTTGTTTATTTTTTGGACGGAATTCGCAGAAGAATAAGCTCTTGATTTCTCGAAACCATTATTTTCGATAATGCTTTGCAAGTAGATGTTGGAGGCAATACACATTTCTCTAAACTGGTGCAAACTAAGCAGCTTGTCAATACAAATTACGCAAAGTGCCTTTGGAAGTCCATCTGTTGTCCTAATTAGAAGCTCTGGTATATTTCGCAATAAAATATTCACAATTTGTAGATTTGGACAGATACTTGAACATTCATATATGGACTGTAAAGGTTTATCTGTAGCCATACAACCTCTACATATTATATTGTTTTGTATCTTCATATTCTAAAATATACTTGGTGGTTCCTTTAATATTAGGAAATTAAAATTTTTAATTCCTATCAACTGTATTTATTAGTCTCACAAAAAAATAGCAATTGAACCTGAGCCAAGATAGCAAAGCCACTGAGAGGACCACACCGGAATTGAAACACGTAATTTTTTTAAATTTATTAATTTGTCAAAATTTGCTAAATTTAAACTTTTTACCAAATAAAATATATTATTTAGATAGAAAATTCAATAATCTTTCATTTCGAATATACTTCATAATTGTATGTTACGTAATAGCAAAGATATTCAATAAATAAAACACAAACAAATTTAATAACACAAATTTTTAAAAATATTAATAAAAAACAACCAAAAGAGGGCACGACTATTGACCTGAAAAACAATAAAACACTGCTTTCAATTAAAGTAAAAATAAGAAAAATCGTGAATACAAAAATTGTTTGAAGTCGTAGTAGAGCTTAATATCAAAACTGCTTAATTATTATTCAAATCAAAAAGCTAAAAATGAAAAATCTGCAAAAATAAATCATACAACATAATTTTAAAACCTGAATAACATATTTTAATTTTATCATAAAAAAATTATAAAATAAAATTATGATCATTATAACATTGTGTGCAAAAAAGGGTCCTTTTCGAAAAGCTCAAAATCATCATGCCCACATTTTTTCAGAATTATTTTTTAAAAATTCTCCATTTTGTGCAAGCTACTTCAATTTCAAACCGAAACAGCATATCTATGGAGAACCGAATTTCTGCAATTGAGACCACACTCAATATTCTGGTAACCAAAATCGCTGAACTGTCTGCTAGATTTTCCACAAATATAAACAACGGACGCAACTCAAGATGCAGTAAGTCCAAAGTGTGTCACTTCCATATAAAATTTGGTAAAGCAACACGAAAATGCGAACCACCATTTGAATTTCGCACTGCAACACAACAGGAAAACTAATATCGCCACCGTCTGTCTCAGCAGCTGGCGGTGGCACTGGAAATCAATGCATCAAAGAACAAAGACTTCACGTTCGTGATCGCAGTACAAATCTCAACTTCCTAATTGACTCTGGATCCATAATATCAGTATTACTTATCACAGTCGTAAACTCATCATGTAATATAATTCCTTATGAATTAAAACCTTACGCAGGTAACGGTACTACAATAACATATGGTTTAAAAACCAACCGCAACTCGCTGGACCAGTAAGCCATCGCATCATAACTTCCTGCCAACCCATTGCAGAGCGCCCACGCAGATATGCTGGTGATAAATGAAAAGCAATAAGAGAAGAATTCACCACGCTTCTAAAACAAGACACCATATCTATGTGAATTTAGTGTAGTAGAAATAATTTTTCTTGGATACAATATATAAAGACATGGTATCAAACTGCGAGCGGATCGCATTGAAGTCATAAACAATTTTCCAAAACCTAATACAATAATGGAACTACGTCGCTTCCTTGGTATGGTCAATTTTTTTGGTAAATGCTTACCCAATGCCGCACAAACACAAGCTCCACTTAACGACATATATAAGAAGTCCATAAAAAATGATAAAACTAAAATTTCTTGGACTTTACCTCTATCTAACAATGCACTAAAGACATCATGATTGCTTCGCAGCAGATGTTCTTGTCATCAACGGCCCCGTTGTCTCTTATTGCAAATGCTTCAGACGTTGCAGTTAAAGCTCATCTCGATCAATTTCAAGACGGTTTATGGAAACCTGTTGCCTTCTTTTCCGCAAAACTTAACCCGACACAGAAAAAGTATAGCACATATGATTGAGAACTCTTTGCAATTTATCTTGTTTTTAAATACTTCAGACATATACTTGATGGTCGTCATTTCGTTGTAAGGACCGATCACAAGCCAATTACATTTGCATTCCGTCAAAAATTAGATAAAGTCTATCCTCGGCAGCTACGATATTTAAACTTCATCGCAGATTTTACTACATCTATAGTCTACCTTCCTGGTTCTTAAAATTATGTAGCAGATGCATTATCTCGAATCTGTGAAATCATGATGCCTATAACTATAACATT